TTTTTTTGTCTTTTTGAGACAGAGTCTCCCTGTAGCCTCAGCTGGCCTGGACCTCACTATGTAGGCTGGCCTTGAACTCACAGAAATCTGCCTGCCTCTGCCTCCTGAGTGCTGGGATTAAAGGCGTGAGCCACTACACGTAGCCCCCAGTCTTTATTGTAAGCTCTTCTCTGGTTGGTTTCTGACACACCATTGGCAATGGTGGAAAATCACGAACCTCTGAAACTGCCCACCACTGCAGGTAGATCCTGCACATAGCTGAAAGTCAGTCATTCAAATGTCCTGAGTTAAGTCACTGTCATCACTGACATCTAGGGTGGCCTTTTTGTCAGTGTATAAAGTGGCCAAGGGAGTGCCCACTGGTACCTCCTCCTTATCAGAGTGGATGAGAGGGCTGTCACTGGTACCCAGGTCAGTGCAAGCAGAGGGTGAGGCAGGTGGCTGGAGTTCTGATTCTGGGGGATGTGGAGCCTGAAGAATAATTTCATTCTGACAGGGGTCATATTCGGGTTCTAACCCAGGGGTCACCACAGTGTGTCCTCTCTACACAAGTTCAAGAAGATTTCTAGTGCCTCTTGGTCAGAGATGTCCATCTGCTCCAGCATGTCGACATTCACCTCCATGAATGACATGCTGCCCGTGGGCTCTCGCCTCTCTGCGATCTGCAGGTAGCCTGTGGGCAGGTACTGTTCCATGCCCTGCTGGAGGCTTCCTCAAAGAACTTCCGCCGCTCTGTCAGCTTCAGTTTCTGGGTGTGCTCCATTTCTAAAACCTTACACGTGTGCTCTGCGACCAGCTCAGCTACGAAGCCTGCAGCGCCTTCCTCTCACCTTTCTTGTAACTCTTCAGGCGCTGGGACTGCGCACATTTACGCTTTTCTAACTCGCACTGCGCACACACTCCCTAACTCACACTAGGCACACACTCCCCCAGATGCAGCAGGTGATTTTCTACCTCTTCAAAACTTGCATCTAAATGAGCCAGAATCAATGATTCCAGGCCTGCACGGAGGCCTGGGAGCCGCTGGAGCTTCTTCCGAAGCTCGGTCAGGCTGGTCCTCTTCTCCCGGTGGACAAGCAGCAGGCTTCGCTGTGCCCGGCTCTCCAGCATTTGCACATTCTTTGGCACTAAAGAAGTTACTTTTAATAAACAGGAAATTCAACTTTTCTTAAGGAATAGTCTAAAGGGGGCTGGCAAGACGGCTCAGGAGGTAAAGGTCCTTGTAGCCAAGCCTGATGACCTGAGTCCAATCCCAGGAACCCACATGGTGGAAGGAAAGAACTGACTCTTGGTAATTGTTCTCTGACCTCCACAAGTATGCTGTGGTGTGCAAGGTACACACACACACACACACACACACACACACACTGAAGGTTAAAAAATAATCTGCATAAGAATAGACAAAACCAAGATGACACTGCGATATTATCACAGGGATAAAATGATTATAAACCATGTAAAACAAAGGATTAAATCTACAACATGATTCTTTGTGGAAAAGGCAAAATACATGGATCCTGAAGGCCTCAATCACATCAAAATGGTTATTGGTTACTGACCTTTGACCCCTTTGGACCTCTAGCTCCTGCTTCACCTTGCTTCCCCTAGTGTAGGAGAGTATGAAGATGAGCCAGGGAAGGACAGAGGAGGTGAGAACAGAGAAAGGAAATTAGCAGTGGCTCAGATCAAGGAGGAATCATGGAAACACACAGCGCTATGTGATGTTGGTCGTTGTGAACAGCGTGCATAGCTGCACGGCCAGCTCACTCCCAGTTCTCCCACCATGTTCATTATATTATTATTCTGAAGACTGTCCTCCATCAGGATGGAGAGCTTGCCCACATCAATTGCTTTTTCATCATTTCTGTGTCTCCAGGAGGAGGTAGTTATTAAAATAAAGTGCGACCACGTTAGTTTGCAGAGTTTGGATGAATAAAGATTGAACAGGCAAATAAATCTTTGATTCTAATATTTTCAAGGTGTTATACTCCATTGAGTCACCATGGAAACGAACACAGCACTCACCACCGGAGAGTCTTCTCAGTAGGCTATAATACACACCCAGTGATAATGTGTTAATATGACAGCACCTCTCCCTTTACAAGATGTGTTGTTAAATGTGTTCACTGACTGAGCAGAATAAAAGGAAATCAACTGCAAATTCCAAGGAACCAATGTGCATTTCAATGAATCAGTTGTGATTTGAGCTGTTTTAATACCTGTTGAGGAATTGCTTTTGTGTTCTTAAGCAAGCGGCAAAACCAAAGAATGTTTTCTTTCAATGCAAGAATAACTGACCTTTGGTCCAGGGGCTCCAGGATCCCCTCGTTCACCTCTTCCAGGAGGCCCGGCCTCACCGCGTTCGCCCTGTCACAAATTGTAAAACAGGTAAAAAGCAACCTCCCCAAGGCTGTTCCCTGAGATCAATAAATGAGCTGAATCAAACTAAAGTAGGCAGAGTCACTGTTTATTTATAATGTACCAGCACTGTGTTAATCTCTGAACATGAGTTACCTCATTTCATAAACAAAACTCCTGTGATTGTTAATTATAGGTGTCATCTTGACTGGGTTAAGGAGTACCCAGGGAGCTGGTAAAGCATCTTCATGATGCTGCTAGAGAAGACTGAATACAAGTCAATGGACTGGGCGGGGGAGGTTGACCCTCAATGTAGGTGATTCTTGTTCACTTGGCTTGGGGACAGATAGAACAAAAACACAGGGTCAGACAAACTGTCTCTCTCCCCTCTGGAGGCAGGCCACCTTTTTTCCTACCCCCAGACATCCAAGCCCCAGAACCTTCAGCTGTGATGGCAAGCCTTACACCAGTGCACTACATCCTCAGACTTTTGGCCTTTGCCTAAGAGATTCACTGCCAACTTCCCTAGTTCTGACACCTTCAGACCTGGTCAGAGCCATGCTATTTGCCTCCCTCCAGCTCAGAGATGGCTTACGTGGGACATCTTTGCTGCCATCGTTTTCCTAACTCCCTATTTAGCTATCTGGGAATGTATGTATGCATGTATGCACGTATGCACATATGCACCTATCCATGCACCCATGCACTCACTCTTATTGGTTCTGTGTTTCTAGGCTACCCTGACTAATATATAATTATGCAACATTATCTTATAATCCCCATTTTATAAATTAGCAGTTTGGTGATCCTTTTCAGATAGCTATGTAAGTAAATGGGAAGACTTTTCAAGGGAATCAATGAGGCCTATTATTCTTCCTCAAGGCAGGAATGGACATCTTTTACATTCCCTCATGAATTTTTAAGTTTCTGACAAATGTATGGCACAGTACTTAAGTTCCAGACTTCACACTGTGACCTCCTAGTTTTTAATTCTCGATCTATTATTATCAGTTGTGTGCTGTAGAAGAAGTTAGTTAAATTCAGTTAGCCTCAATTTACCCTGTAGAGGAAATTACAGTACTGATTTCATAATGTATAAATACAAAGTATTTAGAATCATATGAGACACGTAAGTGTTACAGCTTTTAAATATATTTATAGTTCTAGTCCAAATATAGTCACTGTCCTTGAGGACCTACTGGTAGACAAGAGCCACACAAACAGATCAGTGGATAATGAAGGATTAACTTATTAGGAGAGGAAGCCCCGATGGGCTCTGCTGTGGATTACCCCTGGAAGTGAAATGATACACACCCTGAAGAACGGGAAGGCTCCTTTAATGACCCCTGAGGAGGACAGAGCTGCCCCAAACACTTATTAGGACAAGAAGAAAGGACTTACTATCTGTATTCCACAGGAAAGGAAACTAAAACTCAGAGAAATTAAGTAAGTTAAGTAATTTTGCCAAAGTCATCATAAGGCTTTTGAAGTGGAAAGGCTATGATTTAAAATGGATAGTGTTTAATCTTCATTTTTTCCATCAATGTTTTATATACAAATCTTTTGTGTATCACTCATCATTTAAATATGATAAGCTCCTAGCTGGGGGAATTTCTGAGTCAAAAAGTATGAATAGTTAAACATCTTGACAAACAGTCCTCCAGGGAGATGGCATCATTTTATGCTCCCTAGACATAAAATGGAGAGCCTGGCTTCTTACAAGCTGAGGAAGAGACTTGGTTCAGAAGGGGGATGACATGTTCATGGAGGTGAGAGCTGGTCTCCTCACCAAAGGAACAGATTAATCTTGGAAAGGGTAAGACTGACCTAGAAGCATAGAGAAGGGCTTTAAACACCAATATCCTTATCTGTGTCATACCTGCTCACAGAACCTCTGTGGTTCTTCAGGGAGATGGGGTGGGTAGGGAAACAGTTAAGAGAGAGCCGTAGCAGGTGTGCCATGGCCTCTGGGAGGGTGTGATGATGGATGGAGAGGCTGGGAGCAATGTGGGGATGACTGGAACAGGTGGGATTCTTCTTGGCTTTATTTCTTCCTGCCTTTTCTTTTCTGGCCCCTACAGTAGACTGAGACCAAAGGGCAGCTGGTAACATATGGATTTATTATTATCATTGTATTTAATGTGCAGTATTTATCTAGAGATCTGTGCACCACCACACCCTGCCATATAGAATCACCTTTTATCCCAATGACCCTGATAAATTCCTAGTCACAATGTGAAAGGATGCACTTGCTCAGGTTAGGTTACTCCTTTCTCTCCTTCTGTTTTCAGGGAAGTTCACATAGTTATGGTTGTATTTTCTCCTTATTGTCAAGAGTAGAAAAGTGTATGTCAAAATTTTCTGCTGAATTAGTAAGTAAACATATTATTCCAAATACTTTAAAGTTTCTTCAGACAGATGAAGCCTGACAAAGGCATTCATGACCTAACAGTCCCTCCTACAGATATTTAGGTGCCATTACAGTCCTCTTCTTTATGATCTGTCTTCACTGTGTTGGGAAGGAAACACGCCATCTTTGTTTATTTTTGTAATCTCACATTGGTGGTACAAAATCCAGGGTGTCTGCACAAGTACGACATTGGGCTGAGACAGACTTTCAAATAATCTGACTTTCCTCTCATGCTACAGAACCCATGTTAAGATCAGCAATTCAGCTAGCAATCAATTTCAGAATATTGCTCATCAAATGAGCTCCTATCCACATTCTCACTGGTAGAAATGCCAAACAGGTACATTACTTCTTTTGCTTTTGCCAAAGGTTCAGGGTAAAGTGTCTGCTAGGTTCTTCCTAACAACAATGAATGCTGATTTTATGGCTGTATGTCTGGATCTTTCTTTGAGACCAGTTTAGAAGCAGTTTACTATAGAAAAGATATTTAGGGGTGCAGATCCACCAGTTGGGTCTCTTTTATCTTCATCTGTATAGCAAACATGTCACAATGGTCTTTGGATGGTTCACAATGGTTTTCTTTGTAGTGACTGGTTCTTGTGGTGATGTATTGTATTCCTCTGCCCAGCTGCCTCCTCCCCTCTCCCAGCTCTGAGGACTCAAGCCCCAGTAAATGCAACAGATCTCACATGAATAGATCTCTCTCTCTCTCTCTCTCTCTCTCTCTCTCTCTCTCTCTCTCTCTCTCTCTCTCCCCCTTTCTCTCCTTCCCTCTCTTCCCTCCCTCTCAAAGGCCTATCTTGTGTGAATCTCTTGAGGCTAAAACAGAATTTCTCCATACTTTGTTAATAACACTGACAGCTCATTATGAAAAAAAAGAATTTCTTCAGAAAGCAACAATTTTGCATAATCCCACCAAATTTCAGTCCCCTTGGGCCATGCATCGTTTCCATTTGCTAGGATTAGAGTCATTTTTCATTTGACCAAAGCAGAAATGAGGACTCTTCTGTCTGAACAGACCATGACCTCTTTCTCTAACTATGGGACGTCGCCCTTGGCCTATTTTTGGTGAACGAAGAACTCACTGAGGCAAAGACTGCTATGGTTAAAAACAAAGGAATGCGGGTTGGTGTCATTTTCCCCCTTTTTTGATTCCTCAGTCTGTCATGAGTACAGCTCCATCATCGGAGCCATATCTTTCTATGTCTTAGTGCACAGAAAAAGAGAGAACTCTGGGCTGGACTGTACCCTTAGCGATGTGTTTTTTCACATGGACATATACAGCTTTTGCTTTTAGGGTCCTCTTTAGGGCTGCCAAATAAAAGGCCAAGAGATGGTTTTCATTACAGAATATTTCTGCAAACATTACTCATGGTGGATCTTTTGGAATAAGTATTTAGGCATCTCTGTGACATTCAGACTTGCCTTTGAGAGCCACGGAAGTAGGAATAAGATCTGATTTACAGATATATGCTGAAGTGGATGAGGAGAAGCAGGAGCAGGTGAGTGCTAGCTCTCTTCCTCACCTTTCCATGTAGCCAGAGCTCAGCAGCATCACAATGGTTCATGAGGAATCTGGAGGACCAACCGGATGACTATATTCTACCTGCCTAGGACTAGCCTAAAGCTTTCTGCAATGAACGCCCCGTTGATCTACCTAATTCACCTGCCTGCCGACCAGCCTAAACCTTTCTGGAATTAAATCCCATTGATTTGCTCTTCTTTTTAGAAGAGTTTCATTAATGGGTGGATCAGGCTGCTTGAGCTCTGTATAAGGCAGAAGTATCTGGTCACCTGATTAAGAGCCACTCCACCTTTCCTTCAGCATAGATGACACACTTTTCAAAAGGAAAGCAAGGGGTAAAAAGAAGTGACTTACTTTTGTTCCTGGTAACCCTGGTAGGCCCGGCTCCCCTTGAGGACCAATGAAACCTGGTTCTCCCTTAAAAAAATGGGCATACAAGGTCATTATTCATTTGATAGAAAGAAATAATCCTAGACTTAGTTCACCTCACAGTGATTTTACTTCCTTGAATAGGACAACTGTTTTGACTGAGATGAAACTATTTACTATGGAATTAATCAGCACTGGTGTTCATCACTGAAAAAACTCTTTGAGCAAAGCTCCAGAAAGCTTTAGAGACTGTGATAAAGCCACTGGATAAACGTTGTTTACACTTTCTTTTCTCATCTGTTAGCTAGTGTTTCTTGCCACTTAGCATGTGAAAGACACATTGTATTTGGGTAGACATAAATGGGCCTTAAGACCCCATTCCTGTGTTCATGGCCTTGTGAAATCGCTTCCCCTTGATGAAGACTGGACTCACTACTCACATCTAGTGAATGGAATATGGTAGAAGTGATGGGATGACACATCTGAGTCTAAACTGTAACAGACTGTGTCTCTGCTTGAAGGCTTTCCCTGTCTTTCCTCACTTGGAGCACTTGCTTTGAGTGAAGCAGGCTACCATGTTTTGAGTACACTGTGGAGCTGCCCACACTCTAAGGACTGAGGTTGGCAACAACCACGTAAGGGAGCTCGGTAGTGGATGCCCTATCCCCATAGTCTTTTGATGAGAACACAGCTCTGGTTGCCTGCTCCATTACATTCTGTTGGGGGACTCAGAGCCAGAGACACCCACTGTGCTCTGCTTCAATTCTTGTCTTTCAGAGATTGAATCCAATTAACGATCAATGTTTTCAGAACTAAGTTTTGGGGAAAGATGGTAGGCACAGATGACCGTACAATGGGTAATGGCTAGGGAAGAGTTTCCGTAATGTTCAGCATGAAAGGAAAAACTTCCTCTTTACTATACCACCACCACCTTATCTCCACCACCTGGAGGAAATTGATCTGGCATGGTAATAGAATTTAGTCTTAGTTCTCAGCACAGATCTCCTAATACCCTTGGATTTCTCTGGGTTACAGGAGTGGGAAGGGACACCCTTTGTTGCCGTAACCAGTCCCTTCCAACTATACCTGAATCTATGCAAGTGAGGACACTCTTGGTGCGTCCCCAGAGACAGCTTGAAGATGTAGGGAACCAACCCATGACTAGAGGGTTTTCTACTTCATTTCCTGAGCTATGGGAGGGGAATGGCTGGAGATCTGAGTCAATCACCAGTGTGTTTGATTTCATCAGTCATGCACTGGAACCACCACAGAAACCCCTAAGCAGCAGGGACACATGTATGTGCTAGGAGCTTGGACCATTCAGACAGCAAGGCTTCTATCATCAGTGTTCTTCACATTGTTTTGATTATCCACAAAATTTTGTTTTATTTTTAACTACTCTAGTGAAACATAATGGTTTCACTGCTTAAAATGCAAAATATACAACCAAAATTTAAGGTAAAACCATAGTGGTTTTGCTTCAGTATTTCCTGCTTTATTCACGCTCATACTATTTCCAGAAGAGTTGTTAGATACAACTGATTTTTTCCCCCAAGGCACCAATATCTCAACCTTGTTTTACCTGGAGCTGAGCAGGAAGACACAGACAGAATGCTTTACAAGATATGCTAACATGTCATCAATATCTTTCAAACAAGTGAACTTTTCAAATACACTATATATTGGGTGGGGAATAAAAGGTTATCACTACAAAACACTTCATGTGACATGCAGCTCAAACAGGTTTACCTCTGACTTGCATGCACAGGGAGCAGGAAAGTCAGAATGGGAGCCTAAGGGTTGGGGTCACCGTAACACAATATCCTACTACACTGTATTCTACTTGTCTCTATAGCCTTCCACCTAACAGAAGGGAAAATCTTGTGAACAGTTTTGGACAGATCTCTTACTTTTCCAAAATAAAAGTCTGAATTCCACTGACAAAAATCACAGGTGGTTGGCTGTTCCACCTCCAGAAAGATAATTTAATTTAATAATGTATTTCATAAAAATACATTTATTTACAAGCAAAATATGTCTTCTAACGAAATAATACATACAAATAAATAAATGTCCTGTTTCTACTTTCAAGAGAAATGCTGTAGAGCACATTAAAGTCATTCATCACAATGTGTAACGAAAGTGTAAGGGGTAGGCTGAATATTTGCTTGTAAACAAGAACTCTCACAAATCTTCAAGTAGAGCTAAAATGATGTCTTTAGCCAATCAAACAGAAGTTCCATTAAAGCACACTAATGCAAAATGAAGCGCAAATGGTGCAGAAACACACTTCTTGTTTGGGTTAGTGTTTAGTTTACAAAAAGTTAAAACATGCAGTTGCATACTTCACAAATAATGCTTCGTTATTTCAACAGTTAGACAACAGTGTCTTTTCTTCCTTTTAAAAACATTAAATTTTCCTTAGTAAAAGTATAGAAAGTTCTTTTAAAATATTTTCTTTGTTATTTTATTTTATGTGAATGAGTGTAATGCCTACATGCATGTAAGTGCCTCTGTACTGTGCAGTGCATGTGAAGGTCAGAACAGGGTGTCGGAGCCCCTGGAACTGGAGTTACAGATGGGTATTAGTTACCATGTGGGTGCTGGGAACTGAAACCCGGTCCTCTACAAGAGCAGCCAGTGCTCTTAACCACAGAGCCATCTCTCTAGCCTTAGAAAGTTCTTTTAATAGAATGTTCAGGGTAAAATTACTTTGTTTCAAGAGATAAAATCAATTTGGTAGTTCCAAGAATTTTAGTGCTATTAATCTTATATAATTTTAGAAGCTTTCAGTATGATTAACTATTCCTGATTATCACTGCAAGAAGGTGATTTATACAGTCAAACTTATACATCCTGACACTTATTCCAATATATTCAAGGTAGAAAACAGCATACCTAGCTTTAGGATTGCAGGGCTGTGCCTGTTTTCTGAGGGTCATTTTTAGGTATACCACCTCCATTCTTCCCGCTGTAGTATGATGGCAGAGGGAGGAGATGATTATTGGTCTCTTTGCTATCTGGACTTCAGAAACTATTGTTGAAGTAAATGGGGGCATGAGTGTGCTCACTGTAATAGGTTCTTGAGCATTGTGATCTCACTACCAGTAGTCCTGAAAGTATGCTCTGGTGAATTCTGGGCTCCCACAGACTTTCAGAGGTACTTAAAGTCAAACTGTTTTCACAATGTGCAAAGACATTATTTGCCTTTGTATTGCATTCCCCCTGGGAATGCATCAGTGTATGAAAAGCTCATGATGTGGTTTCAGAATCTGTACTGAGTCTAACCTTTTTTTAAAATTTTTAATTTTTATTTTATGTGTATGAGTGTATTGCCTGCATGTATGTGAGTGCACCCGTGTCATGCAATGCCACAGAGATCAGAAGAGGGCATTGGATTCCCCTAGAACTGGAGTTAAGGACGGTTTGTCGCCACCAGGTGGGTGCTGGGAATCGAACCCAAGTCATCTGCAAGAGCAGTCAGTGCTCTTAACTGCTGAACCATCTCTCCAGCCCCTGTACTGAGTCTAACCTTTAAGAAAGGGCCACTTGTAGATCTTGGGTTCCATCAAAGAATACCAGCAAACAGATCTGAATTGGCTGCTAAAATAAACTTCCCTTGTCCAGTTACCTATCTGTATGATTCATGTAAGATACTTTATCCCAAACAACAAATGGCAAGACTGAACATAGAAGTGTATATGAAAATTCAGCTGTAGTCTTTTAAACTAGACATTAAAGAGATCTGAGAGAAACCCCACATACATGCCAATGTAACCCTTCTTACAATGGTTTTTCTGGTCATATTCTAGAAAATTTAGTTATATTTCATAAAACATCTCCTCTAATTAATACTCAATAAAGATGTCTGAGGTTTAATTTTGAATAAGAAGTTTCAATAAATATAATCAACATAACAAAAGTTCTTCAGAGTTTTTAAGAGTGTAGAGGTGTTCTAAGACTATGTGTTCTAGAATTGCTAGTAAAAGTGCAGGATGGAGTTAGAGCTTGACTTTTTGCAAGCTACAGGCTTTAGGTACCAAATAACAAAAGATTTTCACTTCAAGAAGGAGGCACTTAGTCATGATTTAATAAAGATAACATGAATAAAACATTGTTTCCCCCAGATTAAGCATACAAGTTATTTCCCCCTTATTTTTAGGCTCATCATTATTAGTACTAGCAATGGCAGTATTGTAACATCTCTGTATCCTAATTGGTAATATTCAAGGTGACTTATCACTTTCAACCTGCCTGGTACAAACTCAATAGTCCTTCAATTTGAGATGGTATCCCTCTGCATTTAAGATTTAAGATTGCAATAGTTTAAAACATAGCAGAACTATGAAGGAGCGGTGACAAGTTTACTGGGTATTCTTCCTGTAAGGAAGGGGCAGGATAAAAAAATTTTTATACCTGTTGAATTTCTCTTAGTAAGTATAATCCTTAATTTAAGGGACTACTCTAATAGGCAAACAGGGTCACTGAGAAGTGATAAAGATGGCTTGCTGCTGCTTCTTGGTATCTGACAGGAGGCCTTATTTTTAACTCCAGTAAGGCCCCTTCAACTGATCTGCTAAGCATCGGGTAGCCCTGGACATCTCAGCTTGGAGATGTGACTTACCAGTCTTCTTTGTTAACCAATGCAAAGTTAGGGGAGGGGAAACCACTCAAACCCTTAGAACCCAGGTCTTCCCTAGAGAACGTTGGAGTTTTGGTGTCCGAATTCCCCTCTTGTGAAGAGCTTTACTTTTCTGGATGAGTATGTGATATGTGTGGTTCTTTATGTGTATAGATGTGATTTTTTATCTTTCAATAACAGTTTGTTTTCTGCTCTCTGCTGTTCTGAGATTTTTCCTGCATTTTAATTCTTTAATTGGCTGAGAAAATGAACCAAACCACAGCTACACTAAAAACCTTGCCTATTTAACAGGGACAGATACAAAGTTTAGAGTTTAGAATCCTCTAAGATATGGAGAAGAAAAGCAGTGACAACTTAAGGTCACTGTGCTGGATACTTTAGTGTCAACTTGACACACCTGGGTTGA